ATGGGGAGGACTGGGCTGGCTCTGCGGGCTTCTGGGGGTGGAAGCTCTCCTGCAGCCCCCCGATTGGCCCCTCTCCCCAGATGGCAGCCTGCAGCAAGTGCAGCCGGTCTGATGGCCGAGTGGTGTGATGTGCCCAGTGTGGGTACTCCGGGCAATCCAAGCCAGGACTGCTTTGCAAGCGGGGCACCCCTGAGAACTGTCTGTCCGGGGTGGGGGTTGGGACCCTTTAAGCGCAGCCCTCGGCTAGCCTGAGACAGTAGCTCCACGCTCTAAGTCCTCCTCTGATGCCCTGCCGGCACTGCTTCCGGCCATCCTTAAGCCCTGTTCAGGGTCCCAGTGTGGGTACTCCGGGCAATCCAAGCCAGGACTGCTTTGCAAGCGGGGCACCCCTGAGAACTGTCTGTCCGGGGTGGGGGTTGGGACCCTTTAAGCGCAGCCCTCGGCTAGCCTGAGACAGTAGCTCCACGCTCTAAGTCCTCCTCTGATGCCCTGCCGGCACTGCTTCCGGCCATCCTTAAGCCCTGTTCAGGGTCCACTCAATGTGGACTTGCTAGTTCGAATTAGCAAAACTCTAATTCGAACTAGTTTTTAGATCTAGACGCGTTAGTTCGAATTAGCTTAGTTCGAATTAACTAATTCGAACTAAGTTAGTTCGAATTTACGTTGTAGTGTAGACGTACCTTTAGAGATAAGTGCATGCAGACTGCCTCTAGAACATGACAGTCACATAGGCATTGCTCCCTGCAAAGTGTGCAATAGGGAATCTATATTCATGGGGTTACTGTACCAATGTGTTGCATTTTAAATTGCAACACATGTAATGACTCACAAAAATATAGTTACATATTGATAAAACTAAGTATTTGTCTTTTTCAGGTCTCTACAGCAGACCAATGTCGTTCTTCCCCTAAAACTCTGATTTCATGCAATAAAAAGTCACTTTACCTTCCACCTGAAATGTCAGCTATCCATATTGAATTCACTGAATACTACTATCCAGACGGAAAAGATTATCCTAGTAAGATTTTTGTTCTGAAGAACCTTTGCTCTTCCATTATTTTGCCTTTTGCAAAGCCTAATGGTAGCTTGAGGCCTGATGGCAATACTGATTCAAGCTTGTGTTAAAAAATGGTGAAAAGCTTATTGCACTGAATTAATTGTAAGATTTATTTTTGTGAACATTAATTAAGAGTATTTTTGTGAACATAACACTTCACCATGATCACTCATTTTTGCTCCTACCAACACATTTAAAAAGTATTGATTTTTGTAAACATTATTTTTTAAGTCTCAGCTGTGCATGACATTTTCATCAAGAAATACTGTTTGTATAGTGTGTTTATATACATTTTTTTGAATATTGGCACTCCTCTGTTGTACAAAAGAAATCAACGTATTGCAGTTCTATCAAAGATGTAACAAAAGATGTGCTACAGTTATTTTAGTAACATGTGACAGGAGTCAGCAATCTCTTATGTAAGGAAATCCCAGCAGGCTTCCTGGGGATCACGCTCATGATAGAGGCTCTTCTCTGGCCCTGCCATTTTCCTTCAACTGTGGTGCTCATCTCCTTTTTATTCTATTTTAATTTAAGATTTTCATGCAGTGAACATCAGAGAGAGTGGGGAGTGATGCACTCAGCCTATTCTTCCCATGGCCAATGGAGTGGGTTTTTCATTTCTTCCATGGTATAAAATAGAGGCGATATGGCTCTGCATTATTAAGTCAAAATAAATGTTATAATTTGCTTTAATTTTGTTTTGTTTCTTCCTTAGTTCCATGTCCGAACCTCTATGTACAGCTGAATGCTCTGCAGTTCACTCTGGATGAGAGAAGTATTCTTTGGCTAAATCAATTTGTGTTGGATTTGAAGCAAAGTCTCAGTCAGTTTATGGCCATGTATAAATTAAATGACAATTCAAAATCTGATGAGCATGTTGATGTTAGAGTTGATGGACTTATGTTAAAGGTATGGTATGGAAGGAGTATTTGGTGGGTTTGGAGCAAAATACTCTCTCTTTTATCTCTGAAAAGCATTATTAGGCAAGTATTGAAAAAGAGAATATGCTAAGAGTACGATGATGTAAGGAAAGACATGTGAGGCAGAACAGGATATCCTGTAGCAGACCTTCTCTTCTAGACAGCTCCTTGCTACAGAGTAGTCAGTAGGTTAGGCTAAAAGTCTCACTGTTAACAGGCCATTCTGGCATAGCTGAGAGTAGAAAGTATGCCTGGATAGCATATTTACAGTTTAGTTCTCTGTGTGTGCAATTGAACCTTTAATGTGCACAGAACAGTAGTAACATGCCATAAATTGTCAGCTATGAGATCTTCAGCTTTTTGGGTGGTGTGATATGTAATAAGAGTGTGGTCATGGCACCAGCTGACCATGCCTTTTTCCTGCTCTTTGTAGAACTGCAGCTATTTGGTTGTGATCCTTTAGTATAGTGGATCTTGAGGGGAGAGTACAGCTTAAGTAGTTTTATTATGCACAATGAGAATTTTTCTTTTCTTGTAGTAAGATACTACAGATTGCACTTCATTCTGCATCATGAAGCTATACAGGTCTTATGAAATTGATATTCTAGAGAGCTGAACTGCTGAGATCTAAAGATCTGATCAGTTATCAGTTTGATGTGAGCTTTTGAAATTCATTTTAGTTTGGCAAACAAAATTACCAAATGCAATTGTCATAAAAATGGCATTGCAGAATAAGTTTAATTGGTAATTGTGAATGGTAAGGAACACTCAAAGAAAGGAGGAGAAACGCTTTATTCATACCATTTTTGCATGTTGCAATATTTAAGATTTCTCTGCGTGGGGTGTTTGTTATGCTTATAAGAATTATATGTAATATGCTTTATCAGGATGTGATTTCTAAAGCATCAGGTGTTCTGTGTAGACACAGCTAATATTGTTTGAAACAGTTCTACATTGAAGTGCACCCTAGTAGGATCTACAAAGACCAATTAATGTGCAACACTTGAATGAGGTTTAGAAATCAAACTCCCCTATAAATCATGTTCTCGCACCATCTAGACAAACTCTTGGTATGAAAGTGTGATGCTTTAAATCAGGGCTACTCAACTTTGGAAGCTCCAGGGGCCACAATGATACTCACAGCACATGCTGAGGGCTTCAACTTGAGTGTGATTGCATATACATGCAAATATATATGCAAATAGCTTATTTCATAGTGATGAGCATGAATACAAAAATTAAGGCAAGACTACACAACATGCAGGCCCCATTTAAGTCAGTTCTGCTGATTTTAATAAAATGCAATATTTACCCGATTTCTACCCATATGACAGCACTTTTAATGAGCAATGACAGTCCAGGAATGTAACTATTATAACACATATCAACAGAAGACCATTATATTGACTACTTTTTTGTTGTGGCTCCTGGCCACGTGTTGACCCCCACATAAACCCAAACTACACCATGGGCCACATGATGAGTAGCCTTGCTTTAAATAAAACTTTGTAAATATACATTTGATATCTATATGTAATAATATTGTAAACTACACAAATACTGATTATGAAAATGTATTTGTGGTGTAATGGATACTTACTTACAAATTTAGGATGTAACCTTGCATCTAATTAATTACATAACTATGAAAATGTATTTGTGGTGTAATGAATTCTTACTTACAAATTTAGGACGTAACCTTGCATCTAATTAATTACATAAAATACTTTATTCACATGAGTAATTCCATTTAAGATGATAGGCTAATTATAACACAAGTAATTATGTTACTTGTGTGCTCAGAAGTTTGCAGGATCAGGTACTCTGAGCCCTAACATTACAAATGGATTAAGCCTTGAAGATCCTTATACTTGAACGGTATCATATTGATCCCACTGATGTTATATGTGGGTTCAGGAATCTGTGTTAGATGAAATCCTTATACTTGAATGGTATCCTATTGATCCCACTGATATTATATGTGGGTTCAGGAATCTGTGTTAGCAGAATCTCATGTAAGATCAGGGTCTAAAATATTATTTACTTTTTTGACACTTGGAGGGTAAAGATGTGCATTTTGAGAGGAATCCTGCACGCTGGAATACTTCTGTTTTAATCATTCTAAAAATTTTACTTTAAACATAGCAAGAAAAAAATGTGATTACAACATTAGACTGAGATTTTAATCACACACACACATTCACAGAGTGGATTCTAACACATCATCTTGCCAATAGATATGGCATGTGAGTTTTCATTACATGATTAGATTACAAAACATTTATCACGTATTCTATAATGTTTCCTAAAAATATATTAATTATATTGTTGCATTTTATTGGTTGTTTTGATGATTATTATATGCATAAACTGTTATTTCACAATGCTGAGCAATCAATAATAATGAAAGATTCTTCTGTATGCACAAGGAAGCAGAGTTCACATTTCATGTTCGGATAACTTTAAAACAAATGAACAAAATTTTCATTAAACTGTCTACAAAATCACTTCTGAGCTGACCTAAACAGCATATCCATCTTGCATATTTCAAGTAAAAAAAGCTGGAAGCCTCGTCATCTTTGCTTGTCCATTGAGGTTCATTGCAATTTTCTTATGAACAAGTTTGTGCACTAATAGCGGCCTTGATCAAACTTTGTAGAATCCAAGTGAAAAGCTGCAGAACCAGGAGCCTGGCCTTTCCTGTTCTAAATTAGTGTATATATCATCCTACAGAACTTTAATTTCATTCGTTATTTTACTTCACATGACTATTGTTTTCTTTAAAACTGAGTACCTTTTTAATCTACTTTGTAACTAATGTATTTTTCTATTGCAGTTTATCATTCCACATGAAAAGAAAGCTGAAATCCATAAAGATCAACCACGTGCAATTTCTATTCAGAGTTCTGAAATGATTGCTACAAATACAAGGCATTCACCAAACTGTAGACACTCTGACCTGGAAGCCTTGTTCCAGAACTTCAAAGATTGTGAATTTTTCAGTAGAACTTTCACCAACTTTCCAAAATCCCATAACAATTTTAATCTTCTGCATCCAATCTTCCAGAGACATGCTCATGAACAAGATACTAAAATGCATGATGTCTATAAAGGCTATATTACTCCCAAGCTAAATAAATATGCACTAAAAACATCTGCTGCCACTGATGTATGGGCTGTGCATTTTTCCCAATTTTGGATCGATTATGAAGGAATGAAAAGTGGGAAAGGCCGACCAATAAACTTTGTGGACTCATTTCCACTCTCTCTTTGGGTTTGCCAGCCAACAAGATTTGTACAGTCACAAAAGGAGCTCTTTTCTTATCAAACAGCTTTTAACATTCCAAGAAGTGATTCTAGTGACCTAGCTAATAGACTTCAGCGCAAAAAGCTTTTAAGGGAATATTATAGCACTGAGACAGAGCCCTTGACCAATGGGATTCAAAATCGTCATCCTTCAGACAACACTTCAGGAGTTCTGTCTACAAGTTCTTCCTCTGATGCTGATGTACATGTCCTTGTTCATATTAAAAAACACGTTAGCATGCAAATCAATCATTACCAGTACCATTTCTTACTGTTGCTCCATGACTCGCTTGTATTGCTCTTGGAAAACCTAAGGAAAGATGTAGAAGCAGTCACAGGCAAACCCGCACAACAGACAGATATCTGTATTGGGCTCCTACTTGAAAGTGCAGAAGTAGCTCTATTGCTCCATCCAGTGGCTCAGGCAAAACCCTGTAAGTCTCCAGTTTTGGGAGATGAAAGTATCACAGCAGAAGCTCTTTCCCCTTTGGTAAAGGAAGAAACTCTTGTATCAGAGAGTAAATTAATAACTAATGATACAACTCAGAGTGTGGTAACTGAGTGTAAATCTGAGAGCACTGAGGTTAACAGAGTGTGGGTATGAATTATGTAACTGAGTGTAAATCTGAGAGCACTGAGGCTAACAAAGTCATTTTGATGGATCCCCTTCTTTTTAAATCAGATAGTGATATGGATTTTCAGGCGGGAATATTGTTTTTAGACGATACATCAGATAAATGTTTGGGAAAAACAAATGAAGATGTTTATAGTGGACTTTTCAGTAGAAGTGATTCAGATGAAGTCTGTGTGGATTTGAGTGACAAAAGCAGCTTATACTCTAGGGATTTGTTGAATGTTTTAAACAACAGAGAAGATTCTATTGAGTTACTCATTGATAAAGAGGATGATAAAAATATTTTTTCAAATAAGCTAAGTAATCAAAAAAGTGGAACTGAAGGCTCTCCTGTTAAAGTTGCAGAGTTAGAACCAGAAATCACCGTACAATCTGAAGAACCTGAAATCAACAAATTGTCTACAGTTAGAATGCTTGCATCCCAGTCTACATTAAGGTATAAAAGATATTTTCAATTAGTGAGTTTACTCTTTATGTTCTAGGAAAAGTTAGTTGATAGTACAAGCCAAATGCAATTCAGAATTGTCATTGATAATAAAACTGAAAGTTTAGTAGTTTAAAATAGACATTTTAAGCATTAATAAATTCTGTAGGTATGCAGTGATAGTGGAATCCCACAGTCAACAAGGTTTAAAAATTGAACATTCTGTTAAATAAACTTTAAATTGTTTACAGAATATTGAATTTTCATATTCTAAAATAGTTGTAAAAAAACAAAATAATTGACACACGTGTCTACAGTGTAATTTTTAAACTGTGGCAAAATAGATATTTTAAGCATTAATAAATTCTGTAGATATGCAGTGATAGTGGAATCCCACAATCAACAAGCTTTAAAAATTGAACATTCTGTTAAATAAACTTTAAATTGTTTACAGAATATTGAATTTTCATATTCTAAAATAGTTGTAAAAAAACAAAATAATTGACACACGTGTCTACAGTGTAATTTTTAAACTGTGGAGAATGAATGCTTTGCTTTGTTTATCTCTATTTTCCCCCCTAAGGATTACAGAATTATTTTATATTACATATCAGTATTTCTTTAATTTTGTTCCTGCTTTGGAGGATTTTGATTTTCTTTTCTAGAAATCCTTTCGTTTTCAGTAATAATTTCCTAATATCTTTATATTAAAAAGTGGAAAGCCTAAGGAACGCTGCCCGTCCAACCTCCCTGCATTCTCTGTTTCTTATAAGAATATGAAGAGAAGTCCATCACAAGTTTCTTTGGATACCATTTCTACTGAGAGTATGATGTTAGAAGAACATTTGCTAGAGAGTGAGGGAAGTGACAGCCAAATCTTTATGGAGAAAGGTAAACAAATTTAACAAAATGGTTGCATACAATATATATTACCTTATAGTGTGCTAAAGTGGTTTACTCAAGTGGTTGTAATTACTGCACCAGTTGGTTGCAACAAATATTTTCCTACCTAGATGAAAGACATAATTTAAAAATAAACGGACAGCTGACTCGATTATTCTCTCTTTCAAGGGTGGAGGTTGAGGGATTTTTTTGAAGAAGGGAACCAAATTATAGTGTTGGTGTAGGACCAGGAATTCATAGCAACTACTGTCATTGGCCAGCAGTACCTGTTTGCAGGATTGGACTTTAAATTATAGTGTTGTTTTACCATTGAAAATGTGTATCAAGATTTTTGGTTTTAAAAATGTGGGAATAGGTAAGTGTTTTCCTTTGGCATTAGTACTAGCAGTGCTAATAACCAAACAGATTTGACTCTCTCCTCATGGTACTTATTAGCTGAATACTGTTATCAGATGCATGTCCAACTTCTGATTACATCAGTGGGAGCCATTTGTGGATTTCTGAGGAAGAAATTGGCCTGATGTTGAATATCTGTTAGTTTTAGATAATTTGTAATTCTGTGGGGGTAGGAATGTGAAAGGTTAACCGGTAAGCATTACCCTTAACAGGCAATGCTTACCATTTCCAGTTGTTCAGAATAGCTGCTGCCTGCAGCAGTGGGCAGCTCCATCTTGGCCATGGCAGAAGCGGGGAGGCGGGGTGCTCTACATTTAAACGATTAACCAATTACACGGGATTTTACATCCCTACTTTGCGGTTATGTACATTATGATGAGTTTCTAAGAGAAGGCTGATGAAATAATTTTGTTAAAAAGTAACAAGTACAGTAGCAAGACTCTAAAAGATCAATGTCTTTTGTACTGCTATTTTCCATCTGAATTCTCAGCCCATATGTTTTTATAGCTTTAACTAAATAAAGTAATATAAACTGACTGAAAATTTCTGTGAACAGAAGAACTGTAGCCACTTACAGTAAAGTCTTGGAAAATATATCTATGCATATTTGGCAGATCATTGACTTTTGAAAGACTTTAACAAACTCCTCATAGAGTGAAATTTACTTCTCTTGTGGAAGACAAGAGCAGGGCCCTTCTCACTTCTCTAAAAGTATGAAATGGCCTCATTGGGGTGCTTGTGCATCCCCTATGCACTGTGAAATGTCTCTATGCCAGCATATATATACTGGCATGGATGCTATGATGAACTGGCTGTGTTAGGCAGGAAAGGGGCCACATGTTCATGTGTCTGTGGACTCAGTACTTCAGTGGTCTCCAACCTTTGTACACCCAAGATCACTTTTTAAATGACAGACCAAGCCAAGATCTACCACCCTGCCCCTTCCTTGAAGCCCCGCCCTCTCTCATCTCCTCCTCTCCATCACTTGCTATCCCCAATCCTTATACTGCTACTTCAAAAAAAAATTCCCACCATTCCTCGCAGCTACTCACCTGTGCTGGTGCTCGGTGAGTAGCTGCTCCTCAAATGAGGAAATCTAATGTAAATGTACTGCGCAAGCGCGCAGTTCAGAGAGGGCTCAAGAGCTACTCTTAGAGCCTCCGAGATCTACCGGTAGATCCTGATCTACTGGTTGGTGACCACGGCATTAGGGGATGCTGAATTCAGACAAAGCGGCACAGTGGTGGAGGTGGACTCCGAACAAGAGACAAAAAATGAAAAGACGACCATCACTGCTCTCACCCATTTCTCGTTGCCCTCTTACTCACAGTATGCCCCATAATTCACCTCTTCCTTCCTACTCTGTCCCCCTTGACTTCACTTTTCTTCCCCCTGCCTCTGCGCATTCATCTCCCCTTGTTGTTATCAGTAGCAATACCTGGTATGTTCATCTTTAGATCTTGGAAAATCAACAAGCTTTAAAAATTGAACATTCTGTTAAATAAACTTTAAATTGTTTACAGAATATTGAATTTTCATATTCTAAAATAGTTGTAAAAAAACAAAATAATTGACACACGTGTCTACAGTGTAATTTTTAAACTGTGGAGAATGAATGCTTTGCTTTGTTTATCTCTATTTTTCCCCCTAAGGATTACAGAATTATTTTATATTACATATCAATATTTCTTTAATTTTGTTCCTGCTTTGGAGGATTTTGATTTTCTTTTCTAGAAATCCTTTCGTTTTCAGTAATAATTTCCTAATATCTTTATATTAAAAAGTGGAAAGCCTAAGGAACGCTGCCCGTCCAACCTCCCTGCATTCTCTGTTTCTTATAAGAATATGAAGAGAAGTCCATCACAAGTTTCTTTGGATACCATTTCTACTGAGAGTATGATGTTAGAAGAACATTTGCTAGAGAGTGATGGAAGTGACAGCCAAATCTTTATGGAGAAAGGTAAACAAATTTAACAAAATGGTTGCATACAATATATATTACCTTATAGTGTGCTAAAGTGGTTTACTCAAGCGGTTGTAATTACTGCACCAGCTGGTTGCAACAGAGATTTTCCTACCTAGATGAAAGATATAATTTAAAAATAAACTGACAGCTGACTCGATTATTCTCTCTTTCAAGGGTGGAGGTTGAGGGATTTTTTTAAAGAAGGGAACCAAATTATAGTGTTGGTGTAGGACCAGGAATTCATAGCAACTACTGTCATTGGCCAGCAGTACCTGTTTGCAGGATTGGACTTTAAATTATAGTGTTGTTTTACCATTGAAAATGTGTATCAAGATTTTTGGTTTTAAAAATGTGGGAATAGGTAAGTGTTTTCCTTTGGCATTAGTACTAGCAGTGCTAATAACCAAACAGATTTGACTCTCTCCTCATGGTACTTATTAGCTGAATACTGTTATCAGATTCATGTTCAACTTCTGATTACGTTAGTGGGAGCCATTTGTGGATATCTGAGGGAGAAATTGGCCTGATGTTGAATATCTGTTAGTTTTAGATAATTTGTAATTCTGTGGGGGTAGGAATGTGAAAGGTTAACCGGTAAGCATTACCCTTAACAGGCAATGCTTACCATTTCCAATTGTTCAGAATAGCCCCTGCCTGCAGCAGAGGGCAGCTCCATCTTGGCCATGGCAGAAGCGGGGAGGCGGGGTGCTCTACATTTAAACGATTAACCAATTACACGGGATTTTACATCCCTACTTTGCGGTTATGTACATTATGATGAGTTTCTAAGAGAAGGCTGATGAAATAATTTTGTTAAAAAGTAACAAGTACAGTAGCAAGACTCTAAAAGATCAATTTCTTTTGTACTGCTATTTTCCATCTGAATTCTCAGCCCATATGTTTTTATAGCTTTAACTAAATAAAGTAATATAAACTGACTGAAAATTTCTGTGAACAGAAGAACTGTAGCCACTTACAGTAAAGTCTTGGAAAATATATCTATGCATATTTGGCAGATCATTGACTTTTGAAAGACTTTAACAAACTCCTCATAGAGTGAAATTTACTTCTCTTGTGGAAGACAAGAGCAGGGCCCTTCTCACTTCTCTAAAAGTATGAAATGGCCTCATTGGGGTGCTTGTGCATCCCCTATGCACTGTGAAATGTCTCTATGCCAGCATATATATACTGGCATGGATGCTATGATGAACTGGCTGTGTTAGGCAGGAAAGGGGCCACATGTTCATGTGTCTGTGGACCCAGTACTTATATAAAAGACATGGAAGAGTTACAGGTATTAAGTCCGTCTTACAGGCTAGCATAGCAAGCACTCAACACCATGACTGCATGGCTCAAAGGGGTGTAATTCATCTCCTTAATTGCTCCACATTCACATAATTTGAATAGTTGGGCCCTATATAGATGAAGTGGATTTCATCCAAAGAGAATATTTGAGAGATTATATGTATAGATAGATTAACGAGAACAAAAACAAATTAAGAAATTGACTTATTTGTTGCCAGCGCTAACAAGCAGTTTCCCACATGATCTGAGTGATAGGACAAAAATCAGTATGCCTATTATTTGGCTAATTTATTTAATTAAATGTAAAGGTTTGTTTATTACTAAATTATCCAAATAAAATATTTAACCCTTTTACAAAAGTTAAGATAATGTCTTCATATTAATACATAAATAATTCTGATGGTATTATATTGACGTTTTGTATTTTTTCTGGTGATATGCATATCACAGCCATGAATGACAAAAGACCAGCAGAATATGTGCAAGATGAAGTCACAGGAATTGACAATTGTGGTGGGTCATCTCCAGATGCCATCAGTGCAGCTTCAGAGAGTGTTCAAGAAACTAATGAAGAAATGGTAATGTTATTGAAATTAATTAAAGGAGCATGTTTAGTAAATTTAAAAAGAACTGAAATTAAAGTGGTGCTAAAATACTTATGTTTTTCTCTTTAAGAAAATATATTTCTTAAATTTATTAGCTATGTATATTTATATTCTGAATGCTCCAGTAACAAGAGTGAATTTAAATACAGAATTGATTTTAGATTTATTTTCTTTTTAGGGTCTCTAAAGTTGAAGGTTAACTACCTCTGCTCCAAATAATGCTCAGTATGTACTGTGCTGGTGACATTACATCCACTTTAGAGACCTGCTGGAGTAGAGAGTTGTCCTCTTAAAAGGTCAGCTAAGTGGCTTTTTTTTAAATATATGGCATGGTTTTGTGAAGTTTTTAAAGATAATATTCATATATATAACTCAAGGTGTAGAACATAATATATACTGTAATCTTTGTGTCACCATGCCCTTTAGTTAAAAGAAAAAGCCATTTTTCTGACCATCTCCCCTCCAAAGACATTCTCCGTGCACTGATAGAATTCTATAGTGGTTTCATCTCCTCTTAATATTTAGCTATCAATTTATATTATGCTAATCACTATTGTAATCTGAGTTTCTTGCATCATAAATTGGTATTATAATTTAGAGTGGTAAAATGAGGCTACAGGGCACCTAAAAAAAACCCCATGCTTTTGAAATCAGCTATTTGCAAACTGCCCTCTACGTTCTCTACTGGATACATTCAGCATATAACTATACAGATGCTAAGTATTTAAAAAAAAAAACTTGCAGAATACCTTTTTAAAGAAAACCTTATTTAACAAATGATTTTATATTATATATTATATATACACACTTATGAATAAGTGTCCTTTTGGGTTAGTTTTCAATAATAATCTACATTTCTGCATGTAAGTAATATACAATGTGTGAAAACAGAAGCTGTGGATGCAAATTAATTGTGAGCAGATTAGGGATGTGAATGTTTGTTTATCCAGTTAAGGTTAACCTGTAGGGGCTGGATCAGCTCCACACCTGCTGCGGGCAGGAAGCTGCTCCGACCTCTGGTCCTCCATGGACAGGGACTTCTCTCATTGTCTAGAGCAGCTCTTGTCCGTGGTAGCCCTGGGTGCCCTGCAGGCAGAGGCTACTTTGCAGTGCAGAGCGGCCCTTTCACAGACTTAGTACAGATTCCATGTTAATGTGGTTTAATGCAGAAAACTTGGCTGCTAATAATAATAATAATAATAATGAATAATAATACTTTTAGCTTATATTTCAAAAAGTGGCACCAGCACTTGAAGTTTTGAAGCTCTTGTCGCCTGACAACGAGGTATTCAAATTTAATAAAATAAGAGGAAAGTGCAGGCTAGTAGAAGCAGAGTGCCTTATTTTGCAGAGTCTGAGTTAAGAGACTCTAGCTAGGATTTCTCTCTGGCTTTGATTCAGCACTTGAATGATTTCAGCTACTCACATACTTAATATAAAACACATGCTTAAGTTACTATGATTATGAACAAGGCAGCATATTAATTGTCTTGGGGGAACCATCTCATATTGTGACCCTTCTTGCCTTTTCAAATCTGTATTGATGGACTGCAGGTGGAATTGCATCTGCTTTTTATTGTACATTGATTAGTCCATTATAGGTTTGAAGGGGAAATAAAAAAAGAGAAAAATAACTGTTCTTTGGCACTCTGAGTACCTCTCTCATGAGTGAGGAGGGGGGAGAAAAGGGTGAATAAGGAGCTTCAATTCCAAAATGTTCGTTTGAATTGCATTGATACAAGTTTCCTATTGTACTTATATAGTATTGTTGATATTTGCACACTAATAATTGAAAGTTGTAATTAAAATAGTTTACAATTGCAGTTGTATCTTGTTGATAGATATCTGTTGTGGTTTTTAAAATCTTTGGCGTTAATGGTGAAATTGACATCAAAGGTGAAGACACAGAAGTATGCCTTCAGGTGAATCAGGTGATACCAAGCCAGTTGGGCAATATCAGTGTTCGACATTATCTTTGCAACAGAACTGTGGGTAAGAATTTGAGTTGGGAAAGCGTTTATTTTACTATGAAGAAGTTATGTTAAGTTTTAAGGTTGCCTTCCCTCTAATACGTAATCATACAAATATTACTCTCAAATTCAAAATACCTAAGAAGCCTTGTGATTCTTTTATCAATCAATTTAGAATCACTATTCCAACTACCTTCTTTTCTAATTATCAAGCAGTAAGTGGGAGGGGAATAAAAATAGAACTGCTGAGGATGGTGAGTAAAAAAAAAAAGAAAAAAGAAACCTAATGAATTATATTGAATTCTGCCAATTCACCTGTTTTTTAGTCAAATTTCCTGAATTAGATTGTTATTGATATTTTACAAAGCTAGAACTTCATTATTATCACACTCTAACTTTTCTTAATTTTAAAATTTTGTGGTCTGGTGAACCTTCAGAGAGAGCAGATTATTCTTTACTTCAAAATAACTTTAACTTTAAAATTCTAATCTATGGAAATACATCTCAACACCTACACTTTGTTAATTTTAGCTTTCTTATGTAAAGGAAGTTACTATCTAGCCTGTACCCAGAGGGGTGAGGTGCAATTACAATTTTTTCTAAATGCTTGATAAGATTCTCATGCTTAAATGCTGCAGCTGTGAATGTTTCTTATAGCACCACAGTGCCAGTTAGCAGCACATTAATCATGCTTTTTGCAATCAGTATGTCCACCTGGTCCAGAAACACTTTTGCAGTAGATCCAAATATGTCCCTACATCTGCAACTGTATACATCAGAATAAATAGGACAGGGATGGGGAACCTCGGGCCTGGAGGTCAGCTGTGGTCCCTGGTTTGCCTGGATCTGGCTCCTGAGACACAGCGCCCTCCCTCTCACCTCCCAAGCACTGGCGCTCCAGCCCCACCCCTGCTGCCCCACAGTGGGGCTGGAGCACACAAAATCGACTAGGCTAGGCCCCCCAAGGCTGTGGGAGGGGAATGTGAGGAGTGTCTTTCTCCTTCTCAGTCAGGGGCCACGTCAGTGAGGGTTTGGGGGCTTTTTGCTTCTCACCTGTGTGTCGCCCCTGACTTATTTTTCTGTGGCTCAGTGGCTCCTTACCCAAAAAAGGTTCCCCATCCGAAAATAGAGCTGACAGTAGGAAAGATCAGGCAGTTTCAGCACAGATTCTACATGGATTACTTCCCTGATGGCATGCATCACTGTTTAAGTAGACTCTGAACCCAACATTTTAATAGACTCTACTTAAACAGTGGTGGCAAAATTGCTTTCTCAAAGTTCACATCAGATCTTGAAGCAGTCTTGATGACATGGAGGTATGCACAGAGTGACCGGTGCTTATGAGTCAACTGAGTGAAATACATGCATGCAACCACTTGAGGAAGAAAACCTCCCAGTTATTTACCTTTATTGTGACTATTCTTTAAGATATGGTTTGCACATATATTTCACAACTGCCCTCTCTCCCTCTGCATTGGAGTCCTGAGCCCGCATACTCTGATGCAAAGGAATTGAGGAGATTGGGATGACACTGCTACAAAAAGCTCTCCGATTCCAGTGTGCTGGATGTGCACATGCGTAAGTGGAATGCACATGTGAACCACATATAGAACAACAGTTACAATACAGGCAAGTAATGGTTTGCTCAGGAGAGCACTTAAAGTAAAATGTGTTCTTAAGCACTCTCCTGAATGTGGATAGACTTAAGTGCTTTCCTGAATTATAGTCTTAAGTAATTTATTAGGGAGAAAAAAAAGTTTGTGAAGGGCCTAACTTTGAATTTCCCATGCATGAAGATCTCCCACTGAAGACAACACAAGTTTTGCATGCAGGAAAAAATGCAATATCCTTATATATACACTAGCAGACTTACTTGGCATTGCCTGGGTCTGTTAGGGCAGGGGATTAGTGGCGTTGCGGGTACAGGAGTCAGGACAGGGCCTTAGGGATGTCAGGGAGAATGCAGGAAGCTAGGAGGCAAGAGTGAGGGTTGGGTGTGAGCAGATGTGGGGGAGAATTCAGGAAGCTGGGAGGCAAGAGTGAGGGTTGGGTGTGAGGAAGGGTTCAGGGCCTGGCAAAGTACCATCTGACATGGGCCTTTTCTCTCCCCCCCAGTCCTCACCATCTACCAAGGACCTTTTTTTTTTCTTTCTCCCTCCTCACCTTCCAGAGATGCAGCCAAGGGCTGGGAGCTGGGGAAAGGGTTTGGGGCAGGAGGGCTGCTTACTTGCTATGTTGACAGGAAAGATGGTGGAGCCTCAGCCCTGCTGGTCATTCCCTTGCTGGTATAGTTACTCCCAATGGATACTCTGCAGGATAACTGGCCCCTGTGGGCTCGCTGCCCTCTGTAGATGCTCTCGCATCATGTTCCTTCAAACAGCAGCCCCTCCCCATTGCATATTACAGAAAACGGTCCTTTCCCTGGGACTTCCGGTTATCTTGGCACAACCTAACCCTGACCTTGCTTTAAGTTAGAAGAAGAAGCTGCCTACCAAATTCGGTGGTCCTAGCTCCTACTATTTAGAAAGAGTTCTTGAACAAACGGACTCTCAGACAGACACAGACAGATACACTCGTGTGTGTGTGTGTGTGTGTGTGTGTGTGTGTGTGTGTGTGTATAAATAAAATAAGAGTGTATGTATACTGACTTGTCTCTGTTACAAGCTACTTATTTGTATGTACAATTTATTGTTCATTGAACAACTTTTAAATGATAAACTAAGAGATCAGAACTTTGAATGAAAAAGTGATAAAAATTATTTGGAATACATTATGCATATGCAGTATTGTAATTCTGATTCATCTCAAGTATGGGTTTTTCTGAATAAAAGAAAGACATTGGTTAATTTGTTGAAAAACTAGTTATGTTTCCACTTCTCTCTTGTGATTACAGAACTACAAAGCAGGTAGAAATAATTGCAATAAATTTCAAATATTGCAATACATTTTAATCCTAACTGTGTTTTCTTCTACACTAGGTTCAGATAATAAATCTGTGGCTGGACCAATTAAGTCATCACCTGAAATTAACTTGAGATGGGAAAATGGGCCAAGTGCTGTAGTACACTCTTTGCTGGCTGTAAAAAATGGCTTTCTGCAATGTCATATAGAGAATTTTAGTGCTGAATTCCTAACATCTTCCCTCATGAACATTCAGCATTTTCTAGAAGATGAAACTGTTGCAGCAGTAATGCCTATGAAGATAAAAGTTTCTAATACAAGGATTAATTTAAAAGTATGTTAACTAGGAGCCATTTTGCTTCTCTTAGCTGTTTAGATTGTATGTTCTTGTTTCTTTGCTGATAAGTTAGTAATCTGGATATAGTTAACTTCAAAGAAACTCATGTAGTCTTTAAAGTCTTAATTGGATATTTAGGTTTAGATAACACTAAAACAATTAATAAATCCATAAATGGGGTTAGTTCAGTGGCCTGCCTAAAGGTAAATTTGGTGCATGACCAAACTGGTTATATGAATTAATGTTTTATACTTTGTATCTTTTTTTTCCTTTAACAAGTCCTGGTCTACAGAATAGCAGCTACTGGGAATGTATTCAATAAGATGTTCCAAGTTCTCAAGGGTAGTGAGCCTTTTTGTTGCTTTGCAGTAACATCTGCTTTCCAATAAAAATAAACATAATCAGAGAAGTACCCTATAGGCTCATTAGCCTTCTTTCTTTGGCTGTGTCTAAACTACATCCCTTTTCTCGAAAAAAGGATGTAAATTAGACACTTTGAAATTGCAAATGAAGCCGGGATTTAAATTACCCACGCTTCATTTTTATAATGGCAGTCGCAGGTTTTTTCCCAAAAATGGGCTTTTTGAAAGCAAAACAACCATTTAGACACTCATTTACTCATTTTTTCAGGAGTACAGCATTTTCATAATGGCGGTCGCAGGTTTTTTCCCAAAAAGGGGCTTTTTGAAAGCAAAACAACTGTTTAGGCAGTCATTTACTCATTTTTTCAGGAGTACAGGATCTTTCGGTAAAGGGTTTTATTTTTGAATGATCCCCGTCTAAACAGCTGTTTTTCTTTCGAAAAGCCCCTTTTTGGGAAAAAACCTGCGACCGCCATTATGAAAATGAAAATCCCGGCTTCATTTGCAATTTCAAAGTGTCTAATTTACATCCTTTTTTCGAGAAAAGGGATGTAATCTAGACATGCCCTTTGAGGACACTTGTGGTGATAAAAGCTGTGTATAGAGCAAGGAAAGAGGTTGTGAGGACTTCAATTCACCTTGCCTACTAACTAGAGCCCAGATTTTACGTTCTAACCTACCTAGAAGCAGTTACTAAATAATACAAGCCTTTCACACTAGTGTGGCTTAAAATAGCAACATTGAGGCCACTGCAGTAGTCTCATAGTCTATTCCTTAAAAGATTTAAAGCAGCCAGTGGTTTCACTGACTTAAAAAAAAAGAAGAGAGATTTAAGGTTATAAAGTCATTGATGCCTATTTTTTTTAAAAGCCCTCAAACAGAAATAACCTTGGAAAATTTCAGAACAGTGAGAGATACAAGGGACACACTTTCTGAGATAGGGTGTGCCTAACTAAGGGTACGTCTACACTGGAACACTTATTTCAAAATAAATAGCACTATTCCAAAATAACTTAGTTTTTTACTGCAACTCCTGTAACCCTCATTGTGCGAGGAATATTTTACTGCGACTCCTGTAGCCCTCGTTGTGCGAGGAATAAGGGAAGTTGGAAGAAGTGTCCTATTTCAAAATAAGCTATTTCGAAATAAGATACGCAATTGATGTAGCTTAATTTGCGTAGCTTATTTCGAGTTAAGCCCTGCAGTGTAGACCAGTGTTTCTCAACCAGTGGTATGAGTACCTGTAGGTACTGGGGGTACTTCTATTTTTTTTAAGGGGTACTCAATTTTTTTAAAGGGGTACTTTATAAAAAAAAAAAGGTTGAGGAAACATTGGTGTAGACGCACCCTCACTCTGCATTTGGGCCATGATCATTCTCAAATTTAAGGCTGCTTTAAGTTACACCATCAAGGCAGTCTCTGTTTTGCCAACTCAAGAATCCAGCAGAATTCTCAGTCCCTTACTTCCCCCAACAGCTCCTTGTATGCTGGATTTATATCATCTGAGGATTGTCTGCTAGGGAAATTTTCAACAGCTTGCTTTGGCAATGAAGTGTCATTTGTGCCATTGAAACTGCACAGAGAGCACTTAGAGAAGGTTTTCAAACACCATTTAATGGGTATTTTCTTTGTATTGAAGTTGGTACACTGTTTCCTGGGTCAGTTTTGAGGGTTGTTTGTTCATATTGCAGTCTTTGCTCTTTGAAGATGCCTTCCCTCTCATACTTTAATAATTTGTTTTTGTTATTTTCCTGTTGATGCTAATAATTCTGTTAATGTTTTCTTTCTGGTGACATTAGACACATTGCTCTGTTTGTCAGAAATAGTGGATCATAACTGAGGAGAAATCACCATAAGCAGTTTTGTGAGGTTTTTTGTCTTTGGGACACAAACTATTATAGCTATTATTACAATGTAAATTCTTAAAAATAAAACCCTTCCCCAAAGAAGGTTAGGCACAGCCCTACTATCTTTAAATAGTTCAAGGGAAAATCAGATGAGAGATTATATAGCACTGATTTCTTAATACCATTTCTGGTGAGGGTTTCTATATTAAAGAATGTCTTGCTTTGGTCTCATTGAAGTATTCTAGTCAAATTGTATATGCTGCCTTCATCAGAGATAAATTGGACCCTTTGTTTTGCCGTAGGTCAAACTAATTTTAATAACACTGAAGTTTTGCAGATATCTCACTATAAAATTCTGTCTGAATGTACATCTTATAACTGGGATTTTGTGGTTTCATTAATCTGTTCAACTATGTTTAACTGAAGTTTTGAATTAGCTGTTTTGATTTCCAGTCATTAATAGAGACACAACATTAAATGTCCTATTTTTGTTACTTTTATTATGTAGGACGACAGCTCACGTGATAATCTCTCAGCTCCTGAACCAGCTCCTGTAACACTGCATATTGACCTACTTTTGTTAGAGAGGAATGATGATGGTTCTTTTTGCATCAGAGGTATGTATTGATACATTCTCCCCAAAATCTAATAACAATTGAAAGTATGTATATGCTACTGTATTTATGCATTTCTACTTTGTTGGAACATTATTTTGGACATGTAGCTAGTAATCAAAAAGTGAATTTCCCCCACAGAATTGCTAACTGCATAGTGACTAGGTCTACACCATTAGCTAGGGCTGTGATTCCATTTGTGTGCATATGTTTATACTAGCTCAGAACCTAGTATGACTATAGGAGGAATCATTCCTGTAGTTTATAGTGTTACTGTAGCCACAGTGTTCATTGTGAACTGAAACTTAAATACAGTTTACTCAGGGAAAGCAGTCCCTGTAGCAGTGTTTTGACTGTGGACCTGGTCCTGCAGTTAAACCAATGGTTGCATAGTGGTTCATATTACTTCATAGTACATGTATTCAGTTCAACATTTTCAGAGATGACTAAGCACAATTTAAGTGTCTAAATGTTGCAGAAAAATGGTGACACGTTGTCTTAGCTATTTCTTATGCATATATATATTACGGATAACTACGTAATGAATTAGTTATTTATTACGATGTATTGATTCTCACTAGTGTGTGGCCCTCAGCTGATTTTGTGTGGGTCAGCAGCCCTCAGGCCCACCGACGGGCTGGGGGGAAGAGGGATGGCAGTTCTAAAGTTTCCAGAATTGCAGCTGCTAATGCAACAGCAGTGATGGTTGGAGCCCTGGGCCCTTCAGAATCACTGTGGGAATGCTATTTGGCATTCTCCAGCCAGCTCTGACGGCTGGCAAGGGGGTGTTGCACCATCTGGGTACTGCTGAGGCTTGGCTTCCCAGCCCATCCCTTCTACACAAAGTCCCAAGCCTTCCTGAAATGGGGAAACCCTCCCCCCGCCTCATTACCAGGGAGCCCAGCAATTTTGTTGGCCCCTCTGGTGGCCCCCAGCCCAGAAAAGGTTCCCCTTCCTTGAAGTAAAATCTAGATTCCACTGCCCAGTTGCGCCAGATTCTTTTTGTGTGTGTCCGTGTGTCCCCGTCTGTGAGTCCTTTTGTTCAAGAGCACCTCTTTAAACAGTAAGAGCTAGGACCACCAAATTTGGTAGGCAGCTTCCTCTTTTCCTAACTTAAAACAAGGTCAGGCTTTGGTTTGCCAGGAAAACAGGATGTACCTGGAATCGGATCATTTTCCCTAACAGAGAAAGGGAGAGAGCTGAGAGTAGGGACAGCTATGCTCTGCAATCACCACTGGGGGCAGCGAACTCGGGACAGATATACTGCAGAGTGACCAGAATGGGGTGTGAGGAAGAGGGTAGCCAGCTGGGGCCAGAGCTCTTTGTATTGCTGGCTATTGGTAAATGCCTTCCACCTTCAGCTCCAGTACAGGATGGAGGAGGGGAGCACCACTGGTCAGCACAGCTCCCCTCCCACCCCTGCCGCCTCCTGTGCTGTCCCCCTCATTCCTCCCCTCCCATGAGGACCTGCTGTGGCCAGGCCACACAACACCATCTCCCCCGTAGGAGCTGGGGCAGAGGTAGTAACTGCAGCACCATCCTCCCTGCTGTGGATGGACCTGGTAAATCCCCCTGCCCTATGGTCCCACCCCCCTTTCCTGAGTCCCTCACTCCTTTCCTTGACTCCTGCATCCCCATTTCCAGCCCTGAACCCCCTCAACCCCGTGCCCTGACTCCAGCACACACATCCCCCCAATCAGCAGCCCCCTGCCTGGAAAGACATGAGCAATGCAGGGTAAGTCTTCTATTAAGGAAATAAAGTAAAGCGTTGTATGACAGGATACTGCATCAGCACTCTCATCACTGATTAATCAATTAGGCCTCTGGAGGATTGTATGACAGGATATTGCATCAGCACTCTCTCATCACTGATTAATCAATTAGGCCTCTGGAGGGGAGCCCCTGATTACCAAATCAGTTTGGAGCTTGCAAATTAATTAGCCCATTAACAAGGAGAGCTGATAAAAGAGCACAAGAGGGAAGTGGGAGAAGGAGAAAAGAGACTGATAAGGGTTCAAATGGAATTCTCTGGGAGGAGACGCTTTTCTTCCCTTTTGGAGAAAGCATAGTAGGACTAGATGACATTATAAATACTGTGACTACTTGAATGTAGAAAGTGGTGTAGTGAAACATTGTAAATAAACTGCATGGTGGCATCTACATGAGGGAAGACCTCTGAGCAATCTTTGTGAAGCAAAGTGGACAGTAGAAGTAGATACCATATTACATGTAATTGAAAACAAACAAAGAATATCTGGCTAGGACAAGTATCTGTTTGTGATTATGGTTATTACGGAGACTAGAGCATCTCCACAGGAAGGACTACTTTGAGATTTGCATTTCAAACTGGGATTTAACCTTTTTGCTTCATATAAAATTGTGTGTGCATACACACATTTGACTGCACACTGAGGGTATGTTTAGACTACATGACTCCATTGATGGAGCCATGTAGATGAGTTTACTAGACATAGGAAAATGAAGCGGCGATTTAAATAATCACCGCCTCATTTACATCAAAATGGCCGCCGCGCTGTGCCAATCAGCTGTTTGGCGGGGCAGTCTGGACGCGCTCTGTTATGCCCCATGAAATGAGGTTTACCAGAGCTGTCGACAAAGGTTTCCCTTGTCAACCATGGCGCATACAGACTGCCCCACTGTGCCGCCAAACAGCTGATAGGCACAGTGCAGCAGCCATTTTGATGTAAATGAAGCATTAAACTCATCTACATGGCTCTGTTGACGGAGCCGTGGCTGGGTGTGTGCAAATACACGGTATACACACAAATCATAATGCATTACAAGATGGCAGTACTGGGTGTGTGCAAATACACGGTATATACACAAATCATAATGCATTACAAGATGGCAGTAAAGACTTACATAGAAGATGTGTTTTCACCACTTACCTTGCAGATACTTAATGAATCCATGTACACAAATTGAAGATAGCTTGTATTTTTTTATTTTGTTACACGTTGTCTGGTGCTTTGGAATTCTTCTTAGTTATCTTGGATGTTTCAAAACTGAAAAATGAGTGTTTAATTATTGTGCAAATATACAATTCTAAGGTCTCTTTCAATCATTTGTATTCTTCTCTCCAGTGGGTAAAAAGTATGTTATAAAGTTTTCAAATGTTTCCCTATTCCTTCTGTGTAGAAACCTCAGTTGCAGTGGAAGTCATGGTGGAGGTCAAATTTGAAATGATGTGTATCTATAGACATAGTTGTGAATCTGAATATATTTTTAATACAATGGCAAATTCCTGTAGTTGAGAGAAATGTTTTTAAAAAAGTTTAAGATTTAGATTATTAAAAGAACATTTTGCCATACCTGCAAGTACATTAAATATGAGAGTGAATCTTTAATAATAAATAGAAGAAAGTTTCTTTAACATTAAACTCGGAAAAATTTAAAATTATCTTCAGGGCTGGGTCCAGAAGGCTTTTTATACCATGTCTTCATATGTAAGTACGGTCCCCATTTTGACTAAACCTTGGGGTATGTCTACACCTGTGGAGCTGAGGTCTCGGACATCACAAGGCAGGAGGATCTCAGAGCCCAGACTCCACTCCAAACCCGAATACCTATACCACAACTGTAAAGCCACACTGCCCAAGCCCCATGAGTCCATGTCAGTTGACAGAGGCTAGTGGTGGGTGTTTAACTGCAGCGTAGATATACTCTTAGGCACTATTGCAATACATATATTAATAATAATAATACCACAACTCCCATTCAGTGCAAGATACATGCATGTGACAATCCCAGACTAAAATGTTATTTAGATATACTTTTTGAATAGTTTCCTTTTTATGTTTAGCTAACTGGTCATATAAAATAATTTTTCAGTTATGATTTTTGACAGTTCATATTTACTATTTCTAGAAGCATGAAAGCAATACACGCACACAACCTTTTTCCCTTTCTTCTAAGATGTACACCTTTTATCTATATGTTAATAAAGATATAGGTATACTAATACTTAATGTTAAAATTGTACTTGTTGGAAGTTTTAATTCAATTTTAACGAGTCCTAAAAAATAAACACTTCAAACTTTCTGCTATGTCTGTGAAACAGATAATCAAACATTAAGCAATGATGTGTTGAACTACAAGAAATCGAGTGCTACAGTGCAGCAAGTGGGTGGAGATACCGGACACAAGACACAGAATTGTGTGTCTCAAGCCACACAGACATCTCCAGAAATCCCCGGACCTTCTACATCAAGACGGGCTACAGCTGATTTCCTCAGAGAGGAGGTAGTAATAAACCTCAGTTACCATTTTAATTTAACTAAATTGCGTAGTAGTAGTAAGCAATCAGAACTATTACAGATTATAGATTTTGACTGTTAGGATATCATTTTTGTTGAGAAACTTGATTTTGGTTAAGCATAGAAACAACAAGGAACAGGCACCATACTATGGTTAAATGAAGAGGATGCAACTTTATTTAAACTGTTGTATAATTAGGGTACTCACCCCAAAATAACAGGAGGAGTTGTTCCAATGTAGATCTCAGCTGGTATCACTGACCCCAGTATGCCACAAACCTCAGAGGGAGTGTAAAGGCCATGTTCCCTGTATACTCTCAAGCCTGCCCAGAGATCCTTCCTTCTCACCTCTTTCACACCAGAGTTAAAATGAGATTTAGCCATCAACTGCAGCAGATCATTACATTGATGCTCTTCATGCTGCTCCACAGGACCTCACTGGTCTGTTACCCTCGGGTCCTGACGGGTCCTGGATGAGGGACTTTGCTGGACTAGGAAAAGTCATTTCTGGCTCCTCTGCTATTGGCTCTCCCCCTTCTGTCCCACAGAGCTTATCCCTCCCCCTTGCAGTCCAGCTGAGTCTGTACTATCTCCTAGCTGCCTCCTAGCACAGCTGAACCACAAGCTGGGCTTCCTGGCCTGTGCCCCCAGCCCAGCTGATCTGTACACTTTTGGAGCCTGCAAACCAGCTGAGCTGCATGCTTGTTCCTCATTCCTGGCCTGTGCCCCCAGCCTAGCTGATTTGTGCACTTTTGGAGCCTGCAAACCAGCTGAGCTGCATGCTTGTTCCTCCACATGGATCCCGCCCATCCCTACCTCCCAGCCCAGCAGGGCTGCGTGCCTCTCCCCTCCTCCCCCCACATCTCACAGGGCCCCCCAGATGTTGCTGGACCAGAGAGTTCTGGTTTATAGAAGTGCAATCTGTATCACCAAATGTGAGCCAATCACCCAGCTCCAGAATGTCTCCACTGTGTCCTACCCCATCACAGCTGCACCCTAGCTAAGAGGGTAAGCATCTGGGCCCAGCCTTTTTAAATGTTATTCTGACAGGAGAAAGTTGGCAGTACACGAAATACTAACATCTTCGTTTTCAATTTGATTATTTCAGCTTATTGAAGAAAATGAATGTCTTAAACAGGAACTAGCCAGAGCTAAAATGGCTCTGGCAGAGATCCACATGGAAAAAGATACTCTGCTTCATCAAATAAAGAGGATGACCATTGAACATCAACAGTAGTGGATATAGTGTTTCAAAGATTACACTGGAGGACGAAGGGCTGTATTGAAATATTGTTTGTGAATTAGTGAAAGACTATCTTTTGACATGAGCATAGAACAATAGGTTTGTGGAATAAATACTATTCTGAGAATTTATGAAGGAACAGGATTAGAAACTGCCATGTGTTATTTCTGTTTATCCCTTTTAAGCAGAAGTGATACAGGAAAAATCAATTTATACTGTACTTTACTAATTTCCCTAACAAAAAGGATCTGAGCATCTAATTTTAATAATCTTGGAAGAAAAATCATCTGGGGGACAGACAGATCTGATGTTGAGATGGTTCAATGGGCCAGAGAAGATGTTTACATGAGTAATTGAGTAAAGTGCATACCATGCATCACTGATATATTGTATCTTTATTTGCTAAGATTAAATGATTTTACTGTTAACAAATACATACTTTAAAGAAGATTACATTTGCACTATAAACTGAATGGGTCTCATTCTCTGGCCATTAGAAGTTAACATAATTGGCCTCAAAGTGGCCCAAAGTCAGTGTAACTGGCCCAGGCAGGATCACTAAGTTTGAATAATCTTCCTGTGGCATAGAGACTTACTAGCATTGGAAGAGAGCACTGTATACCTGGGTAATGGATTGGGACCTTGTAACAAAAATTGTAGCAGTGGATTACTTCTGCAAGACCAGTCCTATGCTTCAAAGTGGGTATTGCAGACTGGTGCAATTTAGATCATCCCTTAAACTATTGTATACCATGCAGAAGGACTTGCTGTGCAAAGAGACAGCAATGGAATCAGTGGTATGTGCAAAGATGAGCTCTTAGCCATTTTTACACACCCCTGATCCATATGCTGCATGGATCAGCCATGGCCAATATACTGTTCATTTGTTTATTAAAAAACTACTAGAATTTATAAATTGTATACCACTGTGATTGGGAAAAAAAACTTTAGAGAATCATTAATTACCCTGTTGAACTTGTGAAGTTACAAGGAAGTGTACTTATGCAGTTTAAACTGTGGGTGATTTGTACAAACTGAACTATACTTTTCAGCTAAAAGAACTGATACATATATATAAATAAAAAAGCACAAAATCCAGATTTTTAGTGTGTGCTTCTAATCAATTTTAATAACAAATGAAAAGTTGTACATTCATTTAAGACCTTGTTTTTGCTAGAAGTAATTCACTGAATAATTTAACTAGTGACCTTGTTGCGTCTGGCAACTGAAGACATTTTAATTGATATTGCACTTGTTGTTTCTGCACCATAGGATATTTGAGGGGAATTTTGTTTGAGGATATGCAAACAAATCTATCAAAGTCTTTAATATCTTATGATTTTACTTTGCATATTTGGACTATGAAACTGTTTAATTAAAGTTTTATGTGGGATATCTTGGAGTCACTGTGGATAGTTCACTAAAAACATCTGCTTAGTGTGCAGTGGCAGTCAAAAAAGCTAGCAGAATGTTCAGAACCATTAGGAAAGAGATCGCTAATAAGAAACCAAATATAGTGCCATGGTTTGGCCACAACTTGAATACTGTGTGCAGTTCTGGTTACCCTGTCTTGAAAAAAGATACATTAGAATTGGAAAAGATACAGAGAGGCAACAAAAATTATTAGAAGTATTAGGCAGTTTCCATATGAGTCCCCCCCCCCCCCCCCCCCCCCCCCCAAAGATGGGGGGGGGGGGGGGGGGGAATTAATAGATGTCTATCAAATTCTGAATAGTGCAGAGAAGGTGAATAAGGAAGTGCTATTTACCCCTCCACATACACAAGAACCAGTGGTCATCACCCAATGACATTAACAGGCAGCAGGTTTATAACAAACAAAAGCAAACACTACTTCACACAATGCAGAGTCAATCTGTGTGGAACTTATTGCCAGGGGATGTTGTGAAGACCAAAACTATAATTAGGTTTAAAAAGAAATAGATAAGTTCATGGAGGATTAGACCAAAACTATAATTAGGTTTAACAAGAAATAGATAAGTTCATGGAGGATAGGTTTATCATTGAGTAAGAAAGAAAACAACAATACCAAACTTATCTCTATTAGCATAAGAGAATTTCTCTTTCACTTTAAAAAGCTGCTTGTGGCAATTCTGAATCTTGGGATTCTGGCCCTGCTTCATTTACATTCCAGTACTGAATGCTTAGAGCTACTTTACAGTAATAGGCAGTGTTTGGGAACCGTTTAAAAGATACAAGTAGCATTTTTTGTGCTGAGTTGTACAGTGTACTTGATGTTACTGAGAAGGATAACATCCTGCCATTTAAATCCATGTTCTCTACTGAAAACATGTAAAGGAAACGTTAGCATGTTAATTTTTGATATGACAAAGTTTAAAAATGAAGCCTCAATATGTTAAATTACAAATGGCAACTGATGGCTTCAGATTAAGTACAGAATTATAATTCATGCTCAGAGCTCTGCTACCATTCATAAACCACTCAAGTTCTAGTCTTAACATTTGTATCAGAAGAAGAGCCTCTTGAGCCTTTTATTCATTGAAGAACAATCTATTATCTTTGATGGAAGGGGGACTGAAATTCACACTGAACTTTGATTCCAGAGGGCTCATGGCTGAAATGTTGCCAGGACTGTATTTGCTGTTTTTCCAGGTGAATTTAAATAAGCCTCAACTAAATTTAATGCTAATCCACCATCTTTAGAAATAATGTTCAATGCTAAGATTAAGAGTTAACCTGTAACTCACTTAGATCCCATGCCAGCTCAAAGAACCCTCCCAGAATGTATACCAACCATGTTGGCAGACCATTGGTGAGCAGCACTTTAAAAGAAAAAAAAAGTCATGCAAAATTCCTTGCAAAGAGGCACACCAGGAATACAGCTTCCTGAGTTCCTCCTCTGCCTTATAGCATTCCAAGATAACTTCCCTTGCAAAGCTTCTTGAGTTCCTCCACTGCCTTATAGCATTCCAAGATAACTTCTTTCATTCTCTACTTTCAGCCTGCCCTGCTGCCCAAATCTTATGGCTCTTCCAGTCCTCCCTAATGAATCTTAGTAACTTCCATGACTCTCCCCATAAATCCTAGATAATTGACCCTGTTCCTTAATCCAAACCTACTGTTTGCTTTTTCATGCTTTGCTAAATTTGGAGTTCTAACTGGTAGGCTAGCTTTTAAGGGCCTCTTTCTTCTCTTATAATCAATCACATATTTGACCTCAATTGGCTAATTCCAGGTGAAAGCTAGTTTCCTATGGCTGATGTGTCATGTCTTTAAATTTATTCATGATTAGTAACATTGAAGTCAATGATAAAATTAAACATATCAACTATTTTCAGTGTTGCGGGCATAGCACATGTGAAGACATTACAGGAATCAAAAGCAAGCAAGCCACAATGTGAATGTATTTGGTGGGAACCAAAGTGAATATCCTCAGCCTAGTTGTTGAGACGTTTAGCACAGAATGCTAAAGAATTACTTTAAGTTCATGGATGACATGGTAAGCTGCCCATTTGTGGAGGTTAGCATCCTCCATCCCCTTTCTGCCTGAGGCCCCACCCCTTTCACCTCCCCTTCACTGCCAGCATCCCGAGGCCTCATGTCTGCCTGCCCCTTCCCACCCAAGTGCTTCTAGTCCCAGAGAGATCCCTCGGTGATCCCCAGCTCTGGAGTGCCTTGCAGGTAGCCCCAGGACTCCCATCCCCAGAGCACCTGATGGGTGGTCCTAGCACCTCCAACCTTGAAGCACTGGGCAGGCAACTCCAGTGCCTGCAGCTCCATATCAGATCCAGCTACCTTAATTCCCAGGGTCAGCTGTTCTAGCCCCTGCCCACTTCAGGGAAGATGAGCAGCCTGTCTGGGCTGGGACCAGAGGGGAAGCAGCAGAGAGCCTCAGTTGGATTGTGGGCAGGGCCATGCCTAGGTGTTGGGAAGGCTGAGCCTCCCCTGGCCTAATATACCTGCTACCTATGTTTAAGTTCATTTACATCCAAGTGCTAATGCTATAGCTCCCTCTTTTGTCTCTCATTGTACAAGCTGAAAAATGGTGTCAGTAACATGTCAATGAACATCAAAGAGCAATCAATCAGCTCTAAGTATTTGCTGAAATCTGTAAATCCATCTACCTCGACCTGGGACCATGGTGTGGGACTGTATCAGAAAACAGCTGTGTTCTTTCCCACCCCTAACTTTACAATATGAGTTGGAATAGCAGTCCCTGAGGTCTTTTACATCAGTTATTACCCCTATAGCCACAGAATCATGGACTTTAGTAGATCTGTGCAGTGCTAAAGTGGCGACACCCTCCCATCCATTGTGTAGAGACTGATCCATCACAAGTCTTAATGATGCAGAACAACTTTGCATCAGTGTAAATTTCACACTATGGTTTTGTACCAGTGTAGGGCCTGATCCTGTGTTCCTTACTTCAGTATAAAATTTCTACTGAAGTAAAGAACAAGAGTCCATATATAGGATTACTACACAGAGAAATTCATTTAAATGAGTGCTGTATTCATAAAGAAGTGTGTAGCCAAAGGCTAAGGAAATTGTTTTGAGCTTCAGCAAAAAGTGGAACACAATGAATCAAGGCTAATTAAATAATGTCTTTGTGAATGTTGATCTTGGAATTAATGCGGAAATATGGTTAAGTTTGAGCTATATACTATACATGTCCTTATATTCAATTTTTAAAACATTTTCTTTGAAATTTTCTTTATTGCACTTATAAGATGGTTTCTTTTTAATTGGAAATGAATTTCGTCTCTAAACTAGTAAAAAAAATCAGTAATAATGCTATTGAGGGCAGTGGAGTTACTGAAGAGAAAAAGTAGTGCAAGTTAAACACACACAAACACACTTTTTAAAAATTCCTCTGGCTGCTTAAAGGATAAATTATTTGCTAGATATTATGGAAAAAGTTCACAATAATTTGTTTAAAATATTTTTTTAAACGTTAAATGTGAAAATAATTTTTTTTCAACTTTCAGATTCCCCCAATTTCTTAATGCAAGTTTTAAGATTGTGCTATAGTGTTCTTTTTGGGGAAAAAAAATTGACAGAGCTAACTCGTCCAAAAATATTCTTCTGACAACGAGTACAGAGTCTGTCACCCAAATAAGGCCACAAACAGGTGTGTGATATCAGATTGTAGAAAGGATGTTTCATAGGGAACAACTAAGATACTCCAAAACATTCCCAACTTGATCTATTCACAAAATAATTTTATCTCCATCTTTCCATATCCTCTACCTTTGCTTTCACTCATTTTTATATCATAAACGTATGTCTCACTCTTGAAAACATTAAAGCATACACTACAAAATCTTTATTCAGCACTAACTTCAGTGCTAAATATTGTGTTGGTCACAGTATCATTTTGGAAATAAAAAAAGTTAAATCCCACTTAATAAAGAGACATTTTAAAATGGTTGAAGTTCATAGAGGATAGTAGAGAAATGGTTTTGTCTGGAAAAGAGTAAATGAGAACTGGTTGGCTCATATGTTCACTCAGCACAAAGTTTTGTTGAATCCCCATAACTTGATTTACATAATTTTATCCCCATCTTTCCATATCCTCTACTTTTGCTTTCATTCATTTTTATATCATAAACGTATGTCTCACTCTTGGAAACCTTAAAGCATAACCTACCAAATCTTTATTCAGCACTAACTTCAGTGCTAAATATTGTGTTGGTCACAGTATCATTTTGGAAATAAAAAAAGTTAAATCCCACTTAATAAAGAGACATTTTAAAATGGTTGAAGTTCATAGACAGAGGATAGTAAAGAAATGGTTTTGGCTGGAAAAGAGTAAATGAGAACTGTTTGGCTCATATGTTCACCCAGCACAAAGTTTTGTTGAATCCCCATAACTTGATTTAATCAATCTCAGAAATTCACTGGGAGGCCTACTAAAGGAAAAGTGATACTCTGATTAAAGTACAAATAGGGAATGCTGCCTTTAACAATTTATCTTGGGAAACAAACTTGCATCATATCTCAATACAATGTTATCATGAAGTGGTTCAGGATTGCTGTTGTGAAGCAACATCACAGTATGATGATATTGTACTGGTCAAGAATGTTTCACAGCATTGAAATGCACTAGTGAAACTAGAAT